TTATTATTTATAGGTTATACTTGCATATCACCATGCTGCTTACGCAGCAACTTGTTTATTCACACTGTTCTGATTGGTTTCTATTGTTTTTGGTTTATTTTCCTATATATCCGGTTAGGTTTGTTTATAATTGTGTGTTGTCTCTACATTTTCACATTTGCATATGCCTTGGTTTCATGGTTCATGGCTATTTAATAATCCTTAACCTTATGGTTGTTTAGTGCGAGTTAACTGTAATAAAACCTGTAAAATGGATTCATCTAACACATAATTGTTGAAAACATTGACATGGTAAAACTTTAACTATGACAAATCTAAATTCTCTTTCTCATTAGAATTACCATAAAAGGATAAGAGAGAGGGTTATTTTAATGTACTGTAATATTTAAAATGGTGCAAATTTGTTTTCAGATTCCTGCCAACTCACCCTGGATCCGAACACTGCACATAAATATCTCTGTCTGACTGAAGGCAACAGAGTGGCTACATTTATTGGGGCTGATCAGCAGTATCCTGTTCATCCAGACCGATTTCATGGTTTTTCTCAGGTGTTGTGTCGAGAGAGTGTGTGTGGACGCTGTTACTGGGAGGTGGAGTGGAGTGGGATGGCTGGTGTGGGAATATCAGTGTCGTATAAGAGCATCAGCAGGAAGGGGGGAGGTTTTGAGTGTGTATTTGGATTTAATAATCAGTCCTGGAGATTGTCCTGCTCTGACTCCAGGTGCGCATTCAGACACAATCAGAAAACAATTAAACTCCCTATATTCTACAGTTCATCTAGAATAGGAGTGTATGTGGATCACAGAGCAGGGATTCTGTCCTTCTACAGAGTCTCTGACACAATGACCCTCATCCACAGAATCCAGACCACATTCACTCAACCACTCTACCCAGGATTTGGGATCAATTTTGGATCAACACTGAAGCTGTCATCTGCAGAGATTCTGTGAATAATAGTGTCATACTTCAGGTTGAAGCATTCTAGTAAAAAGGAATGATTATATGTGGTTAGCTCCCTCCATCTTTCCAGTGACAATCCCGAGTACAGTTTACCAAACTAGAAAGTGGATTCATTAAATCCCTCACTACAACACAAACTGTACAGGAAACCGTCTGTCCAAAGCGATACAAAGGAAAACTTTTTTTTTGTGTGTGTGTAATTGTAATTAAGATCTGTTCTGTAACACTATGCAATGAATGATGATTAGAGATGAAAATGCTTTGCTGACAATGACAACTAATCATATTGCAGCTATACAAAGCAAAATAACACTAAAGCATTTTTACTGATTTGTCTGTGTATTTCATTTATGATTACCATTTTAATTTAAATGATCTGAAAATATTATGTATGTGCACTGTAATAGTAGTATTTTGAGTTTAGACATCACATTTGTATGACAATGATCTACAGTTCAGACAATTTAGATACGACTGAAGTTTGTAAATTATACAAAAAAAAAAGGTCATGCTTTTATATCGTTGCAATAATAGAGTGGCAATAATTGGGGTTTTCAATAAAGGTTGTTTTAGGCCAACATAAAACATGAAATTTAAATCTAAAACGTAAATCTAAATTAAATACAAACACTTCTGGCAATGCAGATAATATAAATGAGACGTGTTTTGTCTTGGGTGACTCAAAACTAACTTAGTTGTTTTAACATGCCATTTTGAACAATTTTTTTGGCAACACTAAGCGCTGACACAACACAGGCATTTACGTAGTGTGTGTTACCGCCTTCTACTGGTTTATTTTGTCTTTGCATTTATTCAAAGGAGGCTAGTTTCAGTTTCATTTTTATGCAGAGCCAGGGAACATTTCGGTTTAGGTAAATACACAGAGTAAAGAAGCTATCACTGGATTCCTCATTTTTCAGGCGAGTCACATTTACAAAACACACCTTGTATAGGCCTACACCTTACTCCACAAGTACTGTTCAGCTGTATCTCTGTTTTTGTGTACATGCAGCAAAATGTCAGAATCCAGTATTTCAGTGGCTGAGGATCAGTTCAGCTGTCCGATCTGTCTGGATCTACTGAAGGATCCAGTGACCATCCCCTGTGGACACAGTTACTGTATGAACTGTATTGCAGAATACTGGAATCGGGATGATCAGAAGAGAGTTTACAGCTGCCCTCAGTGCAGACAGACCTTCACTCCAAGACCTGCTTTGAATAAGAATGTGATGCTGGCTGAAACGGTGGAGAAACTAAAGACAACAAAAATCCAAACAGTTTTTCTTGCTTCCAGTTACACTGGACCTGGAGATGTGGAGTGTGACGTCTGCACAGGGAGAAAATACAAAGCCATCAGATCTTGTCTGATGTGTCTAAACTCTTACTGTCAAAACCACCTTAAACAACACGACAGATTCTTTAAAGATAAGAAACACAATTTGGTTAATGCCACTGGACGACTCCAGGAGATGATCTGCTCTCAACATGACCGACTGCTGGAGGTTTACTGTTGTACTGACCAAAAGTGTATTTGTTTTTTGTGCACGATGGATGAACATAAAAATCATCACACAGTTTCGGCTGAAGCAGAGAGGACTGAGAAACAGGTATGAAAAGCTAATGTTAGTAAAATGCATGTTTATGATACTGGAGCTACATGTTATCTGTTACTGTTACAGAAACAATTATGGGACATGCAAAGAAAGTTTCAGCAGAGAATCCAGGAGAAAGAGAAGGAGCTTCAGAAGCTGAAAGGGGCTGTGGATACTCATAAGGTGAGTTATTAACAAAGGAGAAAAATAAATGCTGGATGTTAGAAGAGCAGTCCCACTGAAGCCCACTGTGGCTAACAGACTAAACCGAATGATTCTCTATGTGTGTCTTAACAGCGCTCCGCACAGGCAGCAGTGGAGGACAGTGAGAGGATCTTTACTGAACTGATCCGCTTCATTGAGAGAAGCTGCTCCGAGGTGATACAGATGATCAGAGATCGAGAAAAGGCTGAAGTGAGTCAAGCTGAAGGACTCTTAGAGCAACTGCAGCAGGAGATTGATGATCTGAGGAGGAGAGACACTGAGCTGAAGCAGTTTTTACACACAGACCATCACATCCATTTCCTACAGGTAACAGATTTGAAAAAAGGAACTTTAGGATGTTATTAATATTACAAGGAGATTTTTGCTGGTCAACAGGATTTTACATTATCTTGAATCAGTCTGTGCTAAGTTTGGTTTTGAGTCTGAAAATATAGAAAAATTCTAAATGTGCTTGACCACTTGAAAACTTAATTGATTTTGATTTATCCATTTATGTGTTTTTGTAGAGTTTCCAGTCTCTCTCTGTTCTTCCTGCATCTACAGATAACATCAATATCAGTTCTTTCTTTTCTTATGATGATGTGCGAAAATCTATCTCTATGCTTGAGGATCTCTGTAAGGAAGCAATAGAGAGTATATCTGGTAAAGGTAAAGTACTGGAGATTAATTACCTTTAAAAAAAACATGTCAGGCATCAGGGTCATTCCATCTCAAATGGTCCAAAATGGTAAAGTTGGTTGATGTTCCTTGTTTTTTCGAGTGATTACCTCTATGTGACTGGATTACAAAATACCCAGTCTATTTTTTTTGTTTAATTTGGTTTAACCACATTGACTGTCTTTGTGTTTTGGCCCTCAATGAATTTATATAAATGGAGGTTTTGCAATATCGATTACATAGAGGTAGTCAAAATTAAAAATGGTCAAGCAACCATTGGACCACTTGAGATGGATTAACTCGTCATAAAATACTTACTAGAAGAAACTGGAAAAAAATATATAAAAAAATACAAATAAAAGTGGAATTTGTGTGGATTTTTAACATTGTGAATGTCTCTTGGTTTCATTAGTGACATATGTCGAGATTGTTTCCACCCCTGAATTTAGGACCAGAGCCGAGTTCTTGCAATGTAAGTCTCGCAAATCGCTTTCTTGTGACAATTAACATCCAGAGAGATTTTGATTATATTTATTTTTTAAGTTTCTCCCCCCCAGATTCCCACCAGCTCACACTGGATCCGAACACTGCACATAAATATCTCCGTCTGTCTGAAGGCAACAGAGTGGCTACATTTATTGGGGCTGACCAGCGGTATCCTGTTCATGCGGACCGATTTCATGACTTTTTTCAGGTGTTGTGTAGAGAGAGTGTGTGTGGACGCTGTTACTGGGAGATTGAGTGGAATGGGATGTCCGGAGTATATATATCAGTGTCATATAAGAGCATCAGAAGGAAGGGGAGTGGTTTTGAGTGTGGATTTGGGTTAAATGATCAGTCCTGGAGATTGTTCTGCTCTAAATCCTGTTACTCATTCTGTCACAATAGCATAAAGACTGATCTCCCTGTGGTCTCCAGCTCCTGTAGAGTAGGAGTGTATGTGGATCACAGTGCAGGAACTCTGTCCTTCTACAGCGTCTCTGACACAATGACCCTCATCCACAGAATCCAGACCACATTCACTCAACCACTCTATCCTGGGTTTAGGATATATTTGGGATCAACAGTGAAACTGTCATCTCCATAGATTTTGTGAATAATAGTGTCATATTACAAGTTTAAGCATCATGTGGGATGCTTGGTCTGGTCCGATCCTCACCTAACCTGGTTAACAAAGGTGATTGCAGTTATATTTGTAATGAAAGTTGTAAACACTCTTGTATTGTTTTTAATGGAGAAAAACTAAATTTGTTTTTACATGTTTTATTTTTTACATAGCCAATTTTTTCATTCAATAGTGGTTAAATGTATCACAGTTAACATTTTAGTAGTTTTGTTGTAGCATTTTACATTCTTTCACTAAAATACTGATAGGCAGTGTGTGTGTGTGTGTGTGTGTGTGTGTGTGTGTGTGTGTGTGTGTGTGTGTGTGTGTGTGTGTGCGCCATCTACTGGCCCATTTTGGCTGTGCATTTTCACAAGCTAGTAAACTACTTGACATTTTTTTTAAACCCAGAAGCAGAAAAAAAAAATGCTTCGGAATTAAATAAACAAAAACTTAATGACTTGTTTTAAATAATTTTGTGCACATGCAGATGGAAGTGAATATTTAAGGAATTCAGGGCCAGTACAGTTGTCTGTGGGTCTACTGAATCTATAGCAGGCCCTACTGTATTCAGTAGGCTACCTACTTATTACTTGTTATGCACAAAGTAGGAATTCTGTCCTTCTACAACACCTCTGACACAATAACTCTCATCCACAGAGTACATATCATTGAACATAGGCCTATCACTGGCATGCAGTGCAGCGGTCCAGTCCATTGAAGATTTATTTGTTTTTGTATTCTGTCTGCTATATTTTAAAGTTTCTTGTTCACAAGTGTCATTTTAAATTTTTCTTAGAAATTATTGTGCCATATCAACTCTGTATTATATTTTGAACCTGCTTCTGTGCATTAGGGTTTTAGGAGTAGGGTAGTCTTTTTTGTTTGTTTTAAAACTTAATTTTCCCCTTATAATCCTACAGACAAATTATATCAGCACATGAACTTTGCATGTTGTTATAAATCACATTAATATCAAATATTGAAAGCACCTTAAATTCTCCATCTTACAGGTGTGATGAAGATGTTTTTTTTTTGTTTTTTTTTTAATTTAATGTCTTATTTGTATAGGCTATAGGCCCTGTACCTGTACTGAGAAATATGAATCAGTTTAAACTCTCAAAGAAAATTTGCTATTATTTTGAGCAAAGCCAAATATTGTCCTTCTAGCTGTTGTTGCAATCAACAGATACTCTGCCACTTTCACACAGGTATGAATGTTTGTGAGCAATAGAGATTTCTCTGTAAACATGAAATAAGCATTAAAAAATGCTTTGGTAATACGTGTTTTATTGTCAAAATAGTTTTCTGTCAGAGTGAATGATAAATACACACAATCTTGTATACATGTTAAACATTCTATGTCGTTGTTTTAACAATAACATTTTAATATAAATACATAAGAAAATATAAAAACCCGTATGGACACTTTAAAAGGCACATTCATAACCTCATACACAGGCTTGAGCTGTGATTTAATGACTGGTAGTTGAAGAGATCGGGACTGGTCGTCACACTTTTTTATTTTTATTTATTTTTACTCCAGTGAATATTCGTCACAGTAGTAGGCTATTTAATACAGTGACAACTTCTTTGTGTGACAACTATCCCCGGTCTCACCTAATACTGGAAATAGGCATCTCTCATAAATCAGGAAAGCAGCAGTTGATCAGTTTGCAGTCTTTTAGGAAGTTCCGCTTTTATCACACTCGGGACAGTGGCATTTGTTTTGGAGCGCACAAAACCGAACTTCCTGTCAGTCCCGTGCTAGCGTCACTGTAAACCGAACCGCTCGCGCCTTTACTACCCCAGAGGCAGCAGCGGCGCGTGCAAAGGGCTCGCCACGAGTCCAAAGTTTTACCGGACCACGTCCACGCACCCGACGTGATCCCCACCAAAAGGCACATGAAATACTTGAGCATAAACACGGCGTAATCCGGTTTGTGAGCTTTTTTATCCGACGAGCAGTTACACGCATGCGCGATTTCCCACGCTTCTCGATTGTGCTGTTCGTAAACGTAACAAGCCACAATCACCACGGCAACGACTGTATGCAGGACTGTAAATACCCCGATGCGAATCATCAGCCTCTCGAGTTTGTCCGTTTTCGTTCCTCCTTGTTTAATAACGCTCCGTATCCGAAACAAAGACACGAAGCCCGCGAATAAAAATGCCGTTCCGATAAAAAGATAAATCACCAGTGGCGCGACCACGAATCCCCGCAGGTTTTCCAAGTTTTGGTTGCCCACGTAGCAGATTCCCGCAACCGAGTCCCCGTCCACCGAGCTCAACGCGAGCGCGGCGATAGATTTGACGCTCGGAATGAGCCACGCGGCCAGGTGAAAATACTGCGAGTATCGTGCGATCGCTTCATTTCCCCACTTCATCCCTGCCGCGAGGAACCACGTAAACGTCAGGATCACCCACCAGATAGCGCTCGCCATCCCAAAAAAATAGATGAGTACAAATACAAGCGTGCAAAGCGCCGGACCCGTAGTTTCATAGTGGATATGGTCCACCTCGTTATCCCGATTGCACGCGACTCTTTCGTGGCCCGCGATGAGTCTTATGATGTACCCCACGGACACGAACATATAGCAGGCGGACAGGAAAATAATCGGACGCTCGGGGTATTTAAACCTCTCAATGTCAATGAGGAAAGTGGCCACTGTGGCGAAGGTGGACAAGAAACACAAAACCGACCAAACTCCGATCCAAAATGTGGCAAATGTCCTTTCCTCCTGAGAAAGATAGGGGTTGTGGCATGGCATTGCGCAATTGGGGATCTGCCCAGTCTTTACCCGGTTATACAACGGATGCCGGTCACTGCTCACGGTCACCATAGGCGCACGACAGTGACACTCCGGTTCACATGAAGAAGATCCATGACTGCTTTTATTTTTCCGGTTGTATGGCTTCCCCGGTCGGCTGGTTGGTTTTGGAGCAGCTGGTGAGGCTGTAGCATCAGTCCTGTTGTAGTCCATACACAGAGTGTTTGGATCTCCCTGCACGGGGAGAATATCGCATCTCATTCGGTCCGGCCACGGGAAACCGTATTGCCTCATCAGAGGCGCGCATCCCGCTTTCGCCCGTTCGCACACGCTCCTGCACGGCGGCAAAGGCTTCTTATAGTCCACGAGGCAAATGGGCGTGTACAGACTGCAAAGAAAGAAGCGCAGGTCCGGGGAACACTGGATCTCCACGAGGGGCCAGAACTGGTGCACCTCGAGCCCAGCTTCATCCTGGGTGTCGTGGTTGAATTGGTTGGGCATGTAGGTGTAGTTGTAACCGATCCCTCTACACAGTGGCACCGAAATCCCCTGACAGACCGACTCACGTGCACACACGGAACTCCACAATAGCAGGACACAGACCGCGAGTGGAGGCCAGTGGGACCCCTGCATAGGCGAGTCCATCCTCGGTCAGTTGCACACACCCGCTCCCGGTCTTCTAAAAGGATGCGCTTGCATGTGAGCAATGTCGTCTGGTTACTTAATTATAACACTTAATTAAACTGATCAAATGTATTCAAATTTGCAGTAGAATAATCTGATAGCAAGTGCGATTCATTACAGCGTCTAGTTTGTTTTGGCTGTCAAAGTTGAGCGTGTGTGTCCATATATACAAAGGATAGCCGTGACACGCCTCCTTATCTCGGCGCCCAATCATAGAGCTCCAGGGGCGGAACCTCACGATAATTTAATCAAGCATCCCCGGAGAGTTTTGAGTAAATGTTTGAACTACCAACGGTTTGTATGTCTTAAATTATTTTTACCTCTGTTTACATCCCACCCTATGTCCAAACACTGAATTTGTGGTTGTAAACAAGTCTCATGGCATGTTTAGGTTGTTCCTAATCTCTCCACCGCAAAATGTAATTATTGCATAGTTGAACTCTTTTAGTCTACATTCATTAGATTTAAAAGGAGACTAAAAAGCAAGAGCTGTACCAAAGAGACAAAACTTACATACTAAATGATAAAATGCACTTTTCGTGCCAGTATGCAATAATGCCCGAATTCCTGCAAGGTTTTACTTGACATGTATACAGTGCCCTCAAAATCTGCAAACAAGATGCCCCCAGACAAACAAATGCATCTTGTTTGCATATGTCACTTGCAATCAAATTCAATTCAATGTGTGATTAAGCGTCCAAACACCTTTTGTATAGGCTTAGATCTCTGCCACAATTCTGCGCGCGAAAGATCATATTTTGAGCGCACAAAAGTGCATTTTGCACGCGCGCGATCTGAGTTTTGTTGAGATAATGTTCGTTTCACAAAGACAAAAGTATTTCGAGCGCACGAAAATCAATTTTGTATTTAAAATAAGTTGCGAGTGCAACATTTCACTAGCTTGTTCCCTTGATGTCCGCCCTCAGTGCTCTCTAGATGCCAAAGGCTCGCTTGCTCAACACAACCCAGCGTTACAATATGCCATAATTCCAGCCAATCAGAGAGGAGGATGCTAAATTCTGATTGGCTGCCTTGACAACCATTCACAACATTTCTTGCATTACCACGACAGCAGAAGAGGAAAAATACAGTGCATGCATAATTATTATGCAAGTTGATATTCTGATTATATTTTTTTCCAAGCACATTTTACCAATTCCAAACAACATCAATCTTAATAACTACTAATAATCTTGTATTTAGTCACTTATAATCTATATATTATTGTTCATGAAGGCTGGAAGTGAAAAACGCCTTATATTCAGGTGTGCATAATTATTAAGCAGGTTATCTTCTACAGAAATTAACTCCCAAAACTTACTGCCAGATTCTGGAAGATAAATTCTTCAAACAGTGGTACAAGAGGATGTGGTGCTGGTCCTTCAAGAGTCACTCTCAACTTATCTGTCTATAAAGCCTATAAATATATATAAATATACTGTGTGTGTGTGTGTAATGCAAGAAATGTTGTGAGTGGTTGTCAAGGCAGCCAATTATGGTATATTGTAATGCTGTGTTGTGTTGAGCAAGCAGCTGTTGGCATTTAGAGAGCACTGAGGACAGGCATCGGTTAGCAAGCTAGTGAAACATTGCACTTGCAAAACATCCAAAACACATTCAAAAACTTATTTTAAATGCAAAATTGATTTTTGTGCGCAGGAAATACTTTCTTCTTTGCGAGTCAAACATTTTCTCCACAAAACTCAGTTCGCGCGCGTGCAAAACGCACTTTTGCGCGCTCAAAATATGATCTTTCGCGCGCAGAATTT